GAATTAAGAGCCAGTCTTGAAGGCCAGGAGCTTGGTTTTAGTTACAAGAAGAAAAAAGTATAAAGGGGTCATGGTAGCTCTCTGAAAAGGCATGTGGGGTAGGCTGTATTGGTACCCATCAACTACTGAAGCTAATGAGCAATGAGAGACAGCATATCAGTGGAACTTGAGTACATTTAGAATGGAAATCGGAAGAAATCCTCACTATGAGAGTAATGGTAGCTTGGGAACAGCCTTGCAATGGAAGATGTTTGTCGCTTCAGAGGGCTGGTATTCCATCTGGAAAAGGGTATGGATTTGTAGAGGATTGTAGTAATAAGAGGCCTGACATGATGAGCCAAGAGTCCCTCATTCTTCCATATTAAAGAGAGTTGCTTGGGATGGGGTAGCTGACTTGGCCCAGAAGCTTTGACACCTAAGATGAGTACAGTTGACTCCACAGAGGTGTGCTCTGTGGAGTGCTATTTGAGATGTAGGATGCCAGTAATAAGTGTGTAACTTCTTAGGAGTATTATCGGAGTAATAGAAAAAAACAATCTGTTAAGGAAGGGCATGTCCCTTCTGGGCACTTCAGGCTCTTTACACATTCTTTGTTCTCTCATATGCTAATTTGAGCTCATGATTTAATTTTTTTTCTTTGCAACAGCAGAGGGATAGGTATTTCTGGTACAGTCTATACTGAATGCACAGGACTGGCCTAATCGGACCTTAGCTGATACAGTAAGCTTATGCTACTGATTTGGCTGAGAGGCAACTTGAAGAAGCAGGTCTACTTGTGAATAGCTATTAAATAAACAAACAAAACCAAACAAAAAGAACCCCAAAGCTATTTCCATTACTCCAATGAAAAGAAAGGAGTGACCATTTTGTGTCCTTTGTTATGGGTGCTTTGTCTTGGATCTTTTGAGGCTGGGGTGGCTTTAAGTCCTTAGGTTCAAAGTGCATGTTGTTCACTAAATGATAAGCTGTAGCAGAAAATCATGCTGAATGACCCCTGTGCTTCCAGTTTAAACTGGGGTAGGCTGGCACTTCTGCTCAAGAACTGACAGGTTCTGCCTCTGGCAATTTTTTTCTCTTTATGCTGGCAGAAGACTTGTGTGGTGAACCCAGTCAGGGGACTGATGTGGGTTAAAACTAAACTTTTCTTTTTTCGGTTAGGTTAGTTTTAATTGGGGTTGGTTCACCACATTGTTGCACAAATGTTTGTGCCAGTGAGAAGATGGAAATGAGTGGCTCAGGGACAGCAAGTCTTCCAGCTTTCCCGTGTTTTTACTCGAGGCCCTAGTGGCACTTTTACTGTGCTGTCCTCAGGCAGTGATGAACTCTCCTGATATGGGTCTTCCTTTCCATGTCCTCATTTAGTTTACTTATTATTAAATGTTTTTGTGTGTAATAGATGTGGTGCTGATTTAATCAGCTAGTGGTATACATTAAAGTAATTTATGGTTTGAATACATACTATTTAAACAGACATATTTAGCATATTGATTTATGCCTCCTGCAATGTTTCTCAAACGTTTTTTTTATTACCCTTCCAGGGTAAATTACTAGCCCTGGTGCAACTCTTAAGCAATGAGGAACAGCTAGTGACAGAGCACAGGAGGCAGGCAGAAGGAGATGGCAGGAGGCAGCAATAAATATGGCAAGTGGTGAGAGATGGGGGGGGAGCCCAAGGGCTTGAAGAAATCTGTCAACAAGCCCCCTTTAGCCACCTACTACTGGAACTTATTTCTTTGGCCTGATGCCAGCCTCCAAGGTGATGTCTTGGCTTAGCAGCTATAAGCAGACTTAGACTCTGCTTCTGCACTTTTTTTATTTATTCCCTGTCTGATACCTTCTTGGTGAAGGCCCATCTTCTGGCCACGGTCCTTTTCTCAGCCATGTTGTCCTGGCTGCTGCTGACATTATATCTTTGTCCTGTTGCACTGTCATCAGAAATATTCCATAGTGACTGTCTTCTAATGCCTGATTTCTTGCTTCATTAGTAACTAATTAATTTTAAAGTAATATTAGAAAACATGCTACCTGATAATAGTCTGTCAGAGATTTTTGCTCAAGTTTAAAGAGGGACTTACTCCTAACAACTTTGCTCTCAGTTCATCATGAGTTCATGCTAGTGTTACTGTTCTACCAAAGATTGGCTCTACTGTTACAAAAAAGTATCATCAAGGTTAACACATTGTTAAATCTTTTGGACAAGAGATCTCGGCTTTCAAGGCACTGAGTGTGAACGTCAGGTTTTTTTCTTCCCTTACTGACCTCCTCTGCAGTTAATCTGATCTAACTGGACAGTTGAGACCTGCTCCCTTTGGTTTCCACTCTGATGCAGACCACCGCAAAAGAGGCTGCTGGGTCTTCACTTTACTAGTATGAGATTACTGAGGTGCTCTACTCCAGCAAAACTCTCTCAGACACAAGCACACCCAGGAACCCACATGCCAGAGTTCTATTCTTACCCTTTGTGAGAAAAGGTAGCAGCACTGCTGGCTGGTACAGCAAAAGGGTACAACTTGCCTTGTGTGTTTCTGAAGAAGCTCTGTCATGCTAGGCTGAATGCCAGTGCTAAGCTGGGCATAAAACAAGTATTACGGTTACCCCACCATCTAATAACTACTGTCATTTGATAGCATGCTTGTTTACAATGGGAGTACTTCTATGCTGTGAGGAGACCATCCTTACTAGCTCAGTACTTAATTTATGTTGGAATATATTTATCAAAGGGGCTTGCACAAGTGGTGATGCATGAAGAAGGAATCTTAATATTGAGAGCAAAAATAATCCAGAAGATAAAGACTGTGAAACAAAGGGTTGGTGGTGGTAGGAGTCATGGAAGAGATACTGCAGACTATTTCAGCGCAATGTAGCTAGAACCTTAAGAAATATATCCCATTGCTGTTTGTAGTATGCCTGGGTATCTTGACATGGATGAGGTGCAAAAAGAGAGACTCTTGCTGCTTCTGTCATTCTTGAGATCATGGCTGGAGAACATACTGTCCCGTTCTAGTGAGGTGTATGTCAAGAGATTGCTGTACAATTGGGCAGAGCTCAGGGGCAAACTACAAGGATTCATGGCTTAGAAATTGCTCTTGCAGTGAGGGGGCGAGGTGGAAGATGAATTGCTGCCTGGAACAATTTGCAAGCGTCCATACTGACATGGGATGCTTGACACCAAAGGGCTTTTTAATCTCTTTGGCACATGCATGATGAAATGTTAGACTTGAGAGTCAGCAAAGTTCAACATGCAAATGCCATCCATTAATTCTAAGTAGTTAGAATAATCAACTGGAACATATTAATCTGATAGAGAATTATAAAATCATCAACAATCCATTAGTTAATGCGAGATGGTTCTCTAAAAGGTAGGCCCTACTTACAAATTGTTTAGCTTCTGTAGGGCTCACTATGGAGATGTGTCTGATCTCTGTCATACCAGAGAGGGGCAATGGTGATATGTAAGGCTGAAGTAGCTTTGCAGAACTGAAGACTTTGTTCTTTACTGTAAAAGAAAATGAGAAAGTGGGTGTGAGGGCAAGTCATGCTTCTTGAAGTAAATGTTAAAGGCTCCATTCCTGTAGCTTTTTCTGATAGTTTTGCGGGCTGCAGTACAATGCCTAGAAAGTATCTTGTACTTGGCACCCATCATTGGTAGTGACAACTAAAACCAATATGATACCTGGAGTACCAATCATTTAAGGGTTTTTGATGTATAATAAAGGTCAGTTAATAAAGCAGAGGCAGATTATACTCTGTGTTTCTTGGTACAGTTCTTGGAGAAAAAAGTTGTTAGTTATTGTATCTTCTTTGTTTCACTGTATTATTTAAATTAATCTGTGCTGCTGTGTCCTAGGCATCAACCTATCTGAAAAAACAAGCTGCCTAGGCACAAGAGGCATTGGAGATGGAAAGCAGTTACTGCACGCTACTAGAATGAACTTTGAAGCCTGGCCTCAAAGGATCTTTGAAAACTGCCTTTTTCAAAACAGAATTTGACTTTTTAAAAAAAGGCAAACAGTGTTTTTACCAATGTGTGAGCAGAAAACAATCTAGTTGCCTGTATGTATTCAGTAACACAAGGCTGAGATGAACCTATAATTGTGTGCATTTCTGTCTTTACATGTGTTGGTTTTGTCCCTGCCTATGTATTCTGGTGACTATTTGGGAAAAGATTTCAGTTATCTTTGGTTTTTATTTTTTATTCTTTTAGTCCTTGTTAAAACTGTCTGCCTGCACCCAAGAAATTGGTGTGGGGAGTATGAACAACTAATAATTTTTTTTTTTCATTTGCTTCTGTATATGTAGTGTTTCTGTCAGGAAGTTAGTCGTAGAAAAGGGAGAAGATTGGTCTGTTTCTTCTCAGTATAATTCAATGCAGTAGTGGTATTTTAAGGTTGTGATTCTGCTCTCAGTCAACAGGAAGAATTACTTCAGTGATGATGATAATAGATGCATATATCACCTTGACAATGGCACACTTGCATATTAACAGGCTTAATGGGAGTTTGCTGCACACAGTATTGTTGCTTTTTGAGAGACAGATTTCTAGTAATGACTTAGTCTTTGTCTAAGCATAAGCTTTATATTGATGTGGTAAAATTAAGGCTGTCTTTGAAGCATGGATAAGGACTTAATTTTCTTGGTCTCTATTCTAGCCTCCTGTCCTTCGCATCTTGGTTTTGTTGTGTTTTTCCCCTGCAATCTGGATGATCAGTGAGGAAATTAGTGGGATAAAGTCAAAGCTAATACTCTACAGAGATTAGTGTTCTCCTGTCTCCCACCCAACAAAACCACACATATACTATAATACGTCAGTGTTAAGTGTGGCCTGAGAAACTTCTGACTGTATAGTACCAACTGAAAGTGGGTTTGGGAGTTAAATCAGCTATCAACAGAAGACTTAATTGTATGGTTTGAACATTGCAGTTCAAATATGTATTGAGGTGATTATTAGGTGGGACAGTTCCCTAAGAATAAATAAAATAATTAATTTTTGGTGTCCTTAGAAATTTTGCGGTGTCAGATGTTAAGCATGTTTTGATTTGTTCCAGTAGCCGGATCGAGCTGGGAGATGTGACGCCACACAACATTAAGCAGCTGAAGAGGCTAAACCAGGTCATTTTTCCTGTCAGCTACAATGACAAGTTCTACAAGGATGTACTGGAGGTTGGCGAACTAGCCAAATTAGGTACAAATGTTCTTGCCAGTAATTGTGGGCTATGGTGGCAGAAGTGCTCATCACTGCTATCCATAATGGTTTTGAATAGCAGATCTGTCTATTTTGTTGTTTTATATAATGAACAATAACTGGGAACATCAAAAAAGCAGCAGTCACAACCTCAGAGGGTTTGTGTTCTAAATAGATTCCATTTCACTGGGAATAGGTATTTTTATTGTTACAGCAGAAAACTTGAGATGTGTGCTGCCAGCTTACCTCCTGACGCCATTGCTAGTTGGTTTGAACTGTAATAAGCCAACCACTGTGTCAGAGCACCATTAGTAACTTCACTCCAAATGTTGGCCACAACCTATGATTTTATCTGGATGGGAGAATTAGCAAAAGGGAAGGAAGGAAGGAAGATATAGGGCATAACTGAAGGAGCTGCATGTACAGTTTGAGACTTGTGACTGATAAGGCTTTGTTTCCCTCCCTGGCAGCCTATTTCAATGATATTGCAGTGGGAGCAGTATGCTGTAGGGTGGATCACTCCCAGAACCAGAAGAGACTGTACATCATGACACTTGGATGCCTGGCACCCTACCGAAGGCTAGGAATAGGTAAGGAGGCTCTTCTTTTGTATCTGAGTCATCAAAGAAACCAGATTGTGTGCAGCCTTCTAAATGATCTTTCAGATTTTTCACCAAGATAGTGCTCTTTCAGACCACTGATTTCTTTTGGAAGGGACTTTGGGAAAAGAGTATGATTTATGACATGCTCTTTTTTCCCTGCCTTTCAGAAATGGACTTTCTGTAGAACTTTCTAATTCAGGATTTCAGATTATTAAATTTTATTCACATTATCATACAGTGATGTAAATACTCTGTTTCTACAGGTGTAAAAATTGGTGCACAGAGATGTGAAATAATTTGTCAGAGGTATGCAGCCAGTATGCAAGACATGTATAAGTAGAACACAACATTCCTTCATTGGTTTATCTCTTCACCCTTCTAACTGTAGGGTTTTTTCTATTTATTTTGTCTTTATCATGACAGATTATTGCTACTCAGGGGTAGTACCTGCTTTTTGTCTATACTGCAATTAGTTCTTTTCTCCATGTCGCAAACCCATAGGCCAGATTAATCAAGACCTTACAGTAACCTGTTTGCTTTGACAAAGTGGAATGAAAAGATACCTTTATTTTAAATTATTTTACTAGGCCTTTTTATTAGAAAGACTTAACCAATGCTGTCACTGCTTTGTATATTGTTCTGACCATATTTTGAGGTGAGTTTGAGACCTTGAAGCTAGTATTTAAATAAGCCAGTTTATACATATGCTTCTGGGCTGTTGGTTTTTTTTTTTCCTCCAAAGAAACAATGAATTATATTTTGTGAGCAGTCAGAAAGATAGTGAAATAGTTACACACCATCTTTTATGTGCCTTTCCTAGTTCTCACAAGCTGTCATTTTAGCCCACCTACAGTTAACCTGCCACTCCTCAAGAAAGCCCATAGCTAAGTACAGACTTGATTGTGCACTTCCAGTTTTCTTAAGTATCTCTTTACCTTTCGGCAGGAACTAAAATGTTGAATCATGTCTTAAACATCTGTGAAAAAGATGGCACTTTTGACAACATCTATCTGTAAGTAAATGAGTTACTCATGCATTTTTGGAAAGATGATAGAGGCGTATATGGGAGTAAAGGGAGGGAGATTCAAGGGTATTTTTAGTATGTGTTTCAGTGGGGTCATAGAACATCATCTAAATACTAGCAAGAAAGCTAGGCGTCCTGTTTTGGGCTTGTGTGATGCTGAGAGCTTGTTTGCTTTAGAAGGGCGTCCGCAAATTTGCTGAATTTGAAAGTAGTTAGCAACAGAATGATGTTCTGTAGCAGAATTACACTGTATGACTAAAAAAAATTTTTGTGAAAGAATTTTTTTACTGTACAGTGCCATTCTCCGAATGGAAAAATACTGCAAGTCTTGCATGCATTTGCTATCTGCCTTTTATGACAGTACTGTGTAGGTTAGAACATCAGATCAGAGGTGCTTGCAAGTACTCTAGGTTCTCCTTCAGTAGCAAGGCCCAACTGCTTATTCCCATTCTTGCATTGTGCCAGGTCAGCTGTTTGTGCAGCAACACAGTAAACTAGGTCAATGACCTGACCCAGCTGGGGAAGCTGTTTTCGGTTTTGTTTCTGGGTGTTGATTTCATTTCAGTGGGTTTGGGGGAGCAGGGGCGTGTCTGGGGTTTTGGTTTGATTTGTTTTTTTTGAAGTCTGCATAAGCACTTCGCATGATGCAGACATGAGAAAAAGCACTGGGATAGAGGATAGGGCTGCTTAACAGAGTGCCGCCATCTTAATAGATCCCCATGGAAATAGAGCCTGAAATCCACAGATGCCAAAGCTTTGCTTCCCCTTCGCTGCTGGCTGCACACTTCTGCTTCTTCCTGTGCATTGGTGTCTGTGTGAATACCAAGTGAGCTGATGCGGTTTTTGGCCAGATTGCTTCTCTGAGCCAGCTTCTGCCTTGTCCATCGCTGCTTGCTTATACCAGTACAAGCATGGTGTGTTGGCAGGGAGAGTCCCACAGCAGGTACAGCTTGGATGGACTTAACGCTGCCACAGAACAGCACCCTGAACTCGTCAGGACTGTTGGAGATGCTAAGCGAGGAGTGTTTCATACACTGATAACGCTATAAATGGAGTGACTTTCTTGTCAAGCTTAGTCCACCTCTGCCAAGGAGATGCGAAGTCTTCCAAGACCTCTACTGTTGTAGCCTTGTGCCATCTCTGTAAGAGGAACAGGTGTTTTAAAGAGGAGTTCAAGTAAAGCTGCTTTTGGCTTGTATTCCCGCTCTCTTCCCTCAGAAGAGGTGGTAATGAAGTCTCTCTCAGATGCCTGCTAGTTGGCACAGGCTTTCCTTTTTGCTTTCACAGTGTGGACAGTGAAGGAACTGTGTACTCTTTTTAATGCAAAAAACAAATCCTTCATAATCATTCTTTCTGCTCCCCAGAGTAGGTTTCTGGGATGACAATAAATAGCCCCTGAAGTTGGGCATAACAAAGTTCTTCTAGTGGCCCAATGATTTTATTATTATGTCTGTTGCTTGTGCATCTTCTATCTGAACTTACTATGCAGCTTAGCACCCAATTTGATATCAATGGATAAATTTGTCGTTATGTATTATGAAATTTTCTTTTAGCTATTTGGTGTATATTGGGCTTAACACTAAGGTCTTTTGTTTTATTCTGCTGTTGCTTCCAGAGTTGCTTTGGTTCTATGGTTATGCAGCATGCTGTCATGACAAAGTGATTCATGAGCTTGTACAGTGTCCACTGAATTTTGGGAGTGTTTAATGAATGCCTTTTGCTGAGACAAACATCTCTCTCTCTCTCTTTTTTTTTTTTTTTTAAATGAAGAACTGATGGCTGTTTGTTTTGGAGGCCTTGAAACTCTTGAAATATGCGAGCAAGACCTGTAAAACTCTGGGGGACACAGATGAAAAGAGAAAGGACTTTAAGTCCATAGGGCTTCTTTGTGCTGCCATAGCTTTTTGTGAGGAGAAGAGGGGCAGTTAGAAGTGAACAAGGAGTTAAAATTGTATCAAACACTATTGCCAGTTTTGTGTTGCAGCATGTAAGGATCATCACTCAGGCAACTGTTTTGGTCATCTAAGAAGTGTGTCACTACAGGAAGTTAAAATTGGCTCTACAGTGAAACTTTGTTATATATGTCCACAAAATATCTGAACTTCCAGATTAAGAAAATTTGAAATCACTGAGCTAGTAATGCTTCAGAGTCTCTCTACTATTTGTGTTCCTTGAAAGAGCTTTACTGAAGGGAAACATTTGCCACTTCTCGGCATGATTGACACAGGCCATCCAGGAGCTGTGTGTTAGCTCAGGATTGAGTTGGGAAGACCAAAATTTCCAGTCCTGAACTTACACCATCGTTCCTGTCTCCATCTAGATAGCTCCTTTTCTTATCTTGTCTTTGACTGTTCTGAGTGTAGAGGCAGAACACTGTACTGCAGAAAGTTCTGATACCTGTTTCTCTGTCCTCCTTTCTGTCCCAGGCATGTCCAGATCAGCAATGAGTCCGCAATTGACTTCTACAGAAAGTTTGGCTTTGAGATCATTGAGACGAAGAAAAACTACTACAAGAGGATAGAACCCGCAGATGCTCATGTGCTGCAGAAAAACCTCAAAGCCCCTTGTCTTGGCCAGAATGCAGATGTGCAAAAGACCGACAACTGAACAAAACCCCAACGAACACTTTCTTGCACTTGCTTGTCGCCAAATAAGGAAAGAGAGGCCTCTTAATTTTTCTTTTTTTTTTTGTACTCCACCCCTTCATCCTCTTAATTTTTTTTTTTACCTCTCTCCAACAAAATGTAATGCTTCTTCCAAGGATTGTCCAATCATGTTTGGGGTTGGGGTTTTTTTTGAGCTCTCCTTTTTCTTTTGTTTTGTTGGGGGGTGGTGGGTGGGGTTTTTGTTGGAGTGGGAAAAGTGTGCAGATCTCTTAAGTTTGAGGTGTGGAGGGCTTGAACAGGTTATCCTGATGACAAGTTTCCTTCAGAATTATCTCTTTCAGTAAGCAGAATGTAAATCCAATGGAGGGAAAAAAGGAAAAGCAATATCTTGTCCTTTGACTCCTACATTATTGTGTTTTTTATAACCTACAGGGTACTTTACTCCCCCCCACCCTTTGAATGTTACTTCAGTACTTCCCATACTTCCTTTTAATTCCCTCACCTCAAAAAAGTATGTTTAGCTCTTCCCAATATTTTTAAGTATGGCTTTTTCCTCCATCTTTTGCTGATAAGGATGGGCTACTTTACCATACCTTTTTCATTCTGCCTGGGCTGATCTTTTTGAATGCTTTTTTTTAAATACTCCTCACCCAAGCTGGTGCTACATTTCTTAACTGACCGAGAGGAGGGTTTAGAGTGGTCTTTGTTTTTTCTTATTTTCATTTACCCAACTCCCAGCAGACTTCTGCCAGAGTAAGAGCTAGATCTGGTGTTGGCAAGAGTAAACTTGTAAAAAATATGAATTCTGAGGCAAGACCCTTGCTTTAAAAATGGATGAAATGCTGTAGGGCTCACTGAGAGTTAGTTTTATCTGTGTTGTTGGGATAGGAACAATGACTGTGACCACCTTACCAGCTTTGATCATGTAAGGCAAGCACCCATCTCCAGATTTGTTACAGCTACTAAATCTGTGGTGACAAATCCAAGATGAGGCAAGGGTTGAGGAAACCAGGCAGCAAGGCTGAGAGGGCAGACGTGAATCTGACCCTAATTGCATAGCTTTGCAGGGGTCGCCTGGATTTGCTTGGGATTGGCTTGGCTTGGCTTGCTGTGTTTATGTGCTCCTTCAGGAGGAGGTGGTGAAGAACTGCACAGTTTGCTCCTTTGAAGGTTCTTTTCCTTTTTCCCTGTTCAGTGGTAATAAAGCAGCTCTCTCATGAGAGGGTGTTCTTGGAGCATCGGAGAAAGCAGCATATATTAGAGCATTTTATGGGTTTGGAAAACAAGCTGACAGGCTTCTTCGTACTGTAACCTCAAAGCTACAGTAAACTCTACTAAGCTCTGCTTTTCATCCTTTCATGCTTTGTTTGTGTGAATATCAGTGCTCTTTTCTATGCACTGTTGCCAGCAATTTTATGTATGCCAATACAAATACCAACCTGAGCTTGGACTCTTCTCCAAGCACCTGGGAAAGTGCACTGAGCTGAGACAACACCAACCTGTCCCATCCTCCAAATAGATACTGAACTGCATTCCTTTCGTGTTTGTTTTGTAAAGTTTAAATCCTCATCTTGAATTCATCTGCTTTGAAAGCCTCCAAACTACAGTGTGCATTGTAGCCTACATCTGGTTAGTAGGTGCTGTCCAGTCATTCAAGGGTGATTTGGGAACCAAGGATTTCAAGACAGGAGTTGTGGTGAGGCAAGGGATGGCACCCCTCATTGCTCATTATGTGGTCTTTGGTACCTGAGGGGTGACTGTACAAGCTGCTCCAGAATTACTCCTTCTTTCCCAGAGGTGTGTAGTATTTGTTGGGAGTGCATCTTGACAGCCCTACGCTGGAAAACAGCTACTATTTGCTGGGTTTGCACTAACTGAGTCTTGGGGATGGGCAGATCGCGAACAACAAAAGCCCCTCTGCATGGCCTGAGCACCTGTGTTTGCAACACTTGGTGGCAGGCTCTGGCTAGAAAGATGCGAACGGTTTCCTTGACCAGAGGCAGCCTAGTTTTGACAAAAGCCTATTTATAGTACTGCTAGGACCTCCTCGCACTGGTTATGTTGGCAGTTCCAGCATCTTTCTAGAAGGGGATGTATTGAAGCACAATTAGCTTGTCATATGCCAACATAGTTTCCCTGGCCATCTGTAGACCAAACCAAGAGAAGTATGTGGAGGGAGAGAGAGTATTGTATTTGAGGATGTTTGTGCAGCACAGCTGTAACTCAGACCATAGCTGCCTCTGGTGCCAAGCAAAGTGCTCTTCATTCTTATAGAACTAAGTGGTAAGTGTTTGGGTTGGGTAGATGGGTGTGGGGATATGAACTCTTAGGAATTGCTGTTATTGTAGGTTTCCACAAATCAGTGTGTTTCACAGACAGTTTTCCTTCAGGTTTAAAAGTACAAGTCTGATGTCTATACTTAACTTGGATTAATCTTTGTTTCTGTCTCTTTTTGCTTTGGGCTGCCATCATTCTATGAATGTATCCCTGAAAACAATTCTTAAAGCTCCTATTCCACAGCAAATCTGCCTCATTGTAACTTCTGATAAAATGTTTTGCAGGAGGTGGAAGAGAGAGTAACCACAAATCGAAGACTCATTTTCCCAGGCTTTTAATCCTGGAAAATGGTTGTTGAGTCTTGCATACAAAGTTTGATCTAAATCTCATAGAAAGCTGTGCTCCCTGTACATGGATAAGGGCGAGTGAAGGTCAGTAGTTCTGGATAGCAAACGGTTGCATTTTATTAGCGTATCAGCCATGTTGAGTGTGGGAGGAAGATGCTGTATCTTAGTGCTGTTACCCAGAGACACCGAAATTGTGTGAAGTATGGGCTTGCTGCAGAGAACTTCAGTTACTTCTGTTGTTGCTGCAGCAGGACCTCCGTTTAGCTTGAAAATAACAGCTTGTGAACAACTAAATTTTTTAAAAGTTGGGAGTTTCAGTGGGGGGAAAAAAACCCCAAACCCTCACCAGTACTTCCTGTTCTGGATGAAGATCTAGCAAGAAAAACGTCTGCGACTTAACAGCTTTAGAGTGTAAATTGCGTATATACGAGTTATTCCTCAATCTCTGCAACTGGTTTTGTCATACGTCGATTGAAGTATGAACACATTATCTACAAAAAGACTCCTACTAGAGGAAACCATGGTACAGGGGAAAAAGAATCATCCAGGAGAGATATCCCTCACTTTTGGGAGGGGGAAGGGAGAGGTTTTTATTTTGTGTATACAGAAACTGGCTGAGTTTACATGATGTGGCTAATGGTTAAACCTGCCAACTAAATATGACATACTGTTACAACTGAAACAAACTTATGTGATATTTCATTAAATCTTGATGGTGCCCTGTGTCTAGTAAAAATTTGATCCCCCAAATTGTTTTATTCTCCCCTATGTTGTAATCGAGGGTCAGCTGCTATGCACAAAGTCTGTGTTTTGTAAAGCGTTTGCTGACTTGGATGTTTCTTTTGAATCTGCAACTGCTTCCTGATTAATTTGGCTAAGACCACCCCTGGTCTCTTGAGTTAAGATTTAGTCAAGGGTATGCTGTATGCAGTTTACAGATGCATTTTCAATGTTACAAGTTAAGTTGCAGGGGGAGCAAATTCTTTACAATAAGATGGTCCATTTTTAATCTATATCATTGCCCTTGTTGTACATCAGGAGCATGTTTTTGTTTTTCTCAAACTCTTTAGAAATACCGTTCAGAATAAACGTGCACTATTTGAGTTATGTCATTTACAACTTGTCATGTGCATTTTTTTGCAGTCCAGCTGTTTCCCTCTGAAATCAGATATAGAATATTCCTCAGATGTTTCATAAACTGTGTAGCTTGGAAGATTTCTGACATGAATTGTGACTTGGGCTGCTGTGATGAAATGCCATGGGTGTCTGACAACTGAAGAAAGTGGGGTCTCTTTCTTTGTTTTCTCTGAAGTTATGAGCCTTTTCTCAGAACTCTTCTGTCATGTGAGGTGGAGGGGGAGAGGAAGAGGAACTGTCCTGGAATATTTTTGCATTGGCTAGTGAGCAGTCTTGAAACAAACAGACCAGGCATCAAGAACTGTGTTTTGGGCTTTGTATGTTAAATATTTTGAAGTATTCAAATTAATTGCTAGCTATTGCAAATCTTGACAACAATCTTAGAAAAACTCTGGTCTGTACCTGTAAAAGTAGTTAGTCTTAAGATGCAGCAAGTACTCTTCAATACTGACTTTTCTCAGAAAGACATTTAAGTGAAACTTAATCTCTCTTAACTATTCCAGTCCCTTCTGTTAAAGCCATTTTTTGTCTACAGTACAAAAAATGTACTGTACCTCTCCTGCTTTGAAGTGCCGTTTATGAAGTGATAAAGTTGCACTGTGGTACAGTTTCTGGGGAGAAAAAAAATGTTGCCCCAAATATTCTGTAGCATATTCTATACTCTATTCATATAAATATCTGCTTATTTAAGTTCCTCCGGAAACTCCTTTATTGGTAGATAGAGTTGCAGCATTCATTAGGATAACTTTCAAAAGCAAAGCCAAGGCTCTGAAATTTAACTGTGGTCTGGAGCTGCTGCTACCAGCTGTCTTCCCTGACCTCTGCTGGAGGGCCTGGAAGGCACAGCTGGAGATGAACTGCTACCAGGAATGCAACCTTCATTACTCTGGCCTCACCAGCAGCTACAGAAGCTGGGAAACTTGCTGTACCTAAACTGCTGCAACTGTTCTCCAAACCACTCAGCTTTTAGTGATCCCTGTCATGTTTCTTTCCTTCTCCACCCTCATCACAGTCACCTCTCTAGCAGCATGTGCAGTTTTAGACAATTCTCTTACTCCTTTACAGGGAAACTAGCTGATACCCCTGATAGTTTGTGTTGCCCTTTCCCAAAGGTTTGCTTGTTCTACAGGCAGTTCCACTCCCCTCACTGTTTTAAAAACTTGGGTATTTTGGGGGTCCTTGTAATAACTTCTAGTGTGCTATTATCTTAGTTATAACAGTTTGCTTTTTTTGTTACTAAGATGATGTATTTAAAAGACATGTTACAATGCCAGGATCTAAGAAGTGACAGGTAAGTCAAGTCATCCACTTCACATGAAAAACTGGGATTGTTTTTTCTCCGGTGTGTACATTACCGTACCTACGTGTGCTGGATCTAATTTGCTGTTACAGTGCCCAGTCAATCAACATCAGAAGGTTCACCTGTCATTCCTCGTTCTTATTACCTTGACTAACCTCCAGCAAATTTTCACCTCACTCTACTTTGTCAAAATTCTGTTGAGGAGTATAGACCCCAGCACAAATCTTCTTTGACTCCACTGTTGAGCTCCCACTAGTGTGAAAATAAATCTTTTATTCCATACCCTGTGATTTCTGTATTTTAATCAGCTCTCTATGTCTGTGAGGATACTAGCATCTTACCTGTAGTAGCTTAGATTACTTAAGAGCTTTCGGACAGGGATCTTTTATTTGAAGTCCTTTTGAGTATCTGCCAAACCAGTCTGTTGGCTGAGTGTTGTGATCTGTTTCTGGCAATATTACTTTTCTTGCCACAGGGCTTCTCAAATCTATTCAACCCATTAAGTCCAGATGCTTTGTATGGGACATGAGATTGTTGTTCACTGTTG